CCCCTGCCCCCCTTGCTATTCTATAATTGTTCTGCCCTGTGATTCTCTTCATTCTGGCCACTTCTCAGTACCCTTGCTAGCTCTACCTCCTCCAAGAGGCCTTTACATGATGGGGTTTCCTGGGACTTGATTTTCCTCAGATCGCTTCTAGTTTACACTCTATCTCTGCAGATGCTTTCCTGTATGCCCAAGGCTATAATTAGCATTTATAATAGAGAATCACAAGCACGGTTTGTGGACCAACTTGGATCACGGTCTTGGGATAGATGGTTGTTGAAATTCAGATTCCTTGGTTCTACCCAAAGCCTACCTAGTTTACCCTGTGGCTGGGGACGTGAAATCCGCATTTGAAATCGCTCCTCTGGGTGTTCTCATACCAGGCACCTTGGACCCAGTCACTGACTGGCAGTCCTCAAATGTGAGGCTGACATTAACAAGGGCGGCTCGATATCTCCCTCTGGTGGCTTCTTAACACCATTGTTTTGTTTTGGAGGCTACTGTCCATCCACTTATGGAAACCATTAGGCATGTGGAACCAAGAACAAGGGATGCGAAACCAGAGTCTGTTCTGGGAACAAGCAAGAATACATGGGGAGGGGGGGACTGGAGTTATGACTCAGTGGTAGAGTACTCGCCTGGCTCATGGGGGGGGGCACTGCATTTGATCCTCAGTACCACATAAAAATAAATAAATAATATAAAGGTATTGTGTTCATCTACAACTAAAAAATATATTTTAAAGAAAGAGTAAATTGGATCATCCTGTGACTTTGTGGCACCACCACAAGCTGCTCTGTGTCAAAAGGTTGAGGGACAATTAAATTGGCACCCTTCCATTCCCGTCCAGGGTGCCAGAACACAGGGCCACGCCCCTCTATGGATCCTCACACCAAGGTCCTGAAGTCTCACAGGGGTGCCAACATGTGTCATGAATTGCCAAAGTGATGCTTCCAAGGGGCGACTGATCAAGAGCCTTCAGCTTTCCACTAATAGCTCATCGTGGGACACACTAGGGAAACTTATGTTCTACCCCCAACACTTTATTCTCATTCTGGAAATAATGAAGCTTCACAGTAAAATGTTACAAAAATCTATTCTTCAAAGGCAGTGCAATTCGCCGCCCATTGTTCCACAGTTTAGGAGCAGCGTGCCATGTGTTGGGTGAGCAATGACGGACGGGAACAACCCTGTCGTGTCCTGAGCTACCAATGTAGCTGTGTCCTGCTCTGATTGGGTAGAGTTTCCTAATCTGGTCCTCGCTGAAGATTCTCTATGCTTCCCCTTCTATGGGTGTGGCAAACACGTGCAAAGATTCACCTCCCACCACCTTGGCGTGTTACTCCTGAAGAGAGTGTATGGAATAAGAAGGTATGAGGGGATTTCTTCATGGGCCCTAAGAGAGGATTGTCTAGGACAATTTATTACAGATGTGCTCAGATTTCAGGACTGGACTCAGTGCCAAGTCTCAGAAGAGCACACTCTACCAAATACCACTCCATGCTCAGCATTGCCTCTTTGCTCCTCTGCTTACCTGGATGCAGGACCAAACACTCGCTCTTTTAGAAGACTGTGGTGTGGACATCTGTGAAAGCTGTTTGACAGCCCAAATGCCTGCCGCATGCTTTGTTTTTCTAGCAGTAGCCTCAGAACTTGAGGGGAGGGTGGGGCTTTGGGGTGACTATCTCAGTAGATGGAGAACTGAGGTTGGCTCCTGAAGCACTAGGAGGAGTTCTCGGCAGCGAAAACGAGGGAAGTCATCATGGTCCAAGCATCTGCGAGGTAGAGGGGTATGGAAGAGGCGCTCAGTCTAAGGAGCTGTCAGGGCAATGCAAACGAAACCTCAGTCAACCCAGGTACCCCCCCACCCCACCCCCGACTCCACCCTTTCTGGATGCTTTTCAGGAAAAGTAAAATAAGAACTGTTGCTGAGACTGGCAGGCTGTGGCCAGCCTCAGGCACTGCCTGTGGGAATTTCAAATGGCACAGTTACAGTGGGAAACAGTTTGGGGGTCCCTCAAGCTATTAAACATAGGATTACCATGACACAGTACTTGCATTCTGTGATGGTGTGGATGTGAGGTGTCTCTTCAAACCTCCCGTGTTCACGCAGAAGGAGGAACAATTGGATGGTGAGAGCTGCAGCCCCAACCGGTCCGTCCGAGTTTGAAAGGACTGTCTGGGTCTCTGTAGACAGGTGGGGTGTGGCTGGAGGAGGGGGTCACCTGGAAGGGTTGTTCTTCCCTGTACCCCTTCCCAATCCTCTCACCCTGCTTCCCGGCCACCACGAGGCCAGCAGCTTTCCTCTGCCACTTCCCTTCCACCCTGGTGTTCTGTATCACCTCTGGCCCAGACCAAGGGAGTCGGTCGACTCAGGACTGAGACCTCTGAAACTGTGAGCCAAAATAAACTTTCTCTCCTATGATTGTTCTCATCGCATCGATTGGTCACAGTGAAAAATGTCGACAAACACTCACTCCTGGTGCATGTCACCCAAGGTGAGAGAGGCACTCAAGGACATACAGGTAACTGAATGTTCACTGGTGCTTCCAAAGGAAGCATCCCAAGTGTCACCTCAGCGTGGCAGGATCGCCAGCAGTGGTCTATCCCACAACACAAGGTTGGGCAGCCTTCGAGAGGAGTGAAGTCTGGATGCACGTTCTAACTTGGATGGACCTGGAAATGATTTCAAAGGAAATGAGCCAGACACCAAAGGTCACATCGTGTCTGAGCCCATTGAAATGTACGGAGAGGCAGGCCCAAAAATTAGTGTTGGAAACCCGAGTTGTCTTAGAAAGCAGGTTCATGGTGGCAGCGGTTTACAGGGAGGTGGGAGTGAGGAGCCCACACTCTGTGGGTGCTGGTTTTCCCTGGGGACCAATGAAAACCTCATGTAGGTGCCGAGATGGGCTGAGTTCACAACACGGTGAATTGACTTCATGCCACTGAAGGACGTCCTTCACGGGCTTAATTTCAGGTTCAGTTGAATTTCACTTGGATAAGCAACTTTTAATTAGAAAAGCACAACAGTTATTAGACTAAGTCTCAAAACCTTGAAGTATTCTGAAAAGGCTTAAGCGACAAATTCCTAAATATTTCCATTGAACCTTCCCACGAAGCCCGTTTATTCTCACTAATAAACATGGCTTAAAAAATAAATCTGCTTTTGAGGGGAAAACACATACTGGAACGTGCAGCATTGTTTCTCGTGCTTGCCAGCCTCGCGCCCACCCGAGTGGAGCTCAGAAGGGCTGGATTTCTCCAGCTGCTTCTTCATTGATCTGAGGGGAAGCACGCACCAGTCCCAGTAGGGCCAGGGACCACTGCCTAGGGCTTGCAAAATCACCCACCACTGGGGAACTGCCGCAGACCTTTTTTCCTCTGTCCTCAACCCTTCCAGAGTAGACACACTTACAGTTCTTTTGGACAAATGGAGACAAGGGATCGGAGATGTTAGGGCACAAGGTGCACACCCCACAGCTGAGAAGTGGCAGAGCTGGGAGGCCAACCCACGTCCTTGTTTGAGAGCGTCTCTCTGAGTTGAAGACATGCATCACGAACGCACCCCGCTCTCTGCCCTCCCTGGGGAAGTAAAGAGGCCCGATGGTAGGTCTTGAGATCTGGCCCCCTTTCCTCCACAGGAGGAGGAACCCTTCATTCAGTCAGTGCACAGGCACAAATGGCAGTCCTCCCGTGGAAGACATATGGAATCCAATGCTTTGTCTTGGTCTATAGAGGCCCACTCCCCACACCCGCCACAGGGCACCCCAGTCTGATCAGTGTGATGCTGCGCAGGGGCTGTCTTTTAATTAGAAAAGCACGGTACAGGGCTGACTGTGGGCGCCACCCTGCCACTCAGTGTTCAGGGATCTCCTGCTGAGGGCTCGGAGGCAGTCACCATGGGGGTCTTCACACCAAGGGAAGGGGCATGCCCTCCCCATCAGAACTGTGTCCTCCTTCCTGAGGACTCCCCACAGCAGGGACGCCTCTAGACAAAATCGGTGGAAGAACCTTATCAGACGGCAGCTCTCTGTCTCTGGTCTCTGGTGTGAATGGCTGACGGGAAGTGGGTGCTGTGTCCGCGGTGCCCTGTGGTGTAGGAAGTATGTGCCCTGCACACCCCAAGCAACTGTGAGGTTCATCCTCACCTCCCTACCATCCCAGGTCACAGGCACGCTGTGCAATCACTCTCGTCACAGCATCCTTTGTGTGCTGAGCACCCCATCAGCATGCTGGGGTCCATGCACACCCAGGGTCCTGTGGTCCCGTCACCACCTAAGTTTCGGCTTCACCTTCCTCTGGGCTGAAGTGCTTTGCTTCACAATGTTTCTCTCTCAAAGGTCATTTTTACAGTGACCAGGTGTCCTCGATCCCCGCTGCACAAATGGACCTGACCTCATGTGGTCTGGCGGGTGTGTCTCAAGGGAGAACAGAACGTCTTTTGCTTCACTCTCCTCCCCCCAAAACCCATTCTGGGAAAACTCCCTGCCCGCCAAGCCCATCCCATGGGGGGTGTAGTCCCGTGTCCAGTGCTTCACTCATTCATTTATCTGCTGGTACCTTCCTCCATTCATTTCCTGGATTGGGTGGGTGTGACCGAATGAGATGGAGATCAACACTCTGCCTCTGAGGGTATATTATTACTTCCTGGTTTCCATAGTAAACTAACGTCAAGGAGAGCATTTTGATGACATTCTGGTTTCTATGACAACCGGGGCAAGCCATTCCTTCCTGGCGGCAGACACACTTCACAAGGATATTTACAGACTGGAGAGATGGGATAACTGTAGAAACCTCAACACTAGTAGGTGTCTGCTATCAACGTGAGTGAGTGCAGGAGTGTGTGTGTGTGTGTGTGTGTGTGTGTGTGTGTTTTCACACGCGTGTGTTGAGTGTTGGGAGCCTGTGTGTCCTTTAATCGCACATTAAGGGCTCTCATCCCTTCTGTGTGTTAGGGAGGCTGGCGGCTCCTGATGACAGGCGGGCTGGGGAGACTGAGTAAGGTGTCATCATGTCCCTAGATGACACCTGTTGTGTGAGGGCTTTGTCTTCCGAGTCACTGAAAGCGGAGATGCCCTTGTATTTCATGAAGGGCCACCTCCGTTTTACGATTGTCGCGTGTACCCTTTACCGTGTAACTTTGCTCTTCTTACAACTCCTTGTCATAGAAACCTATTTCGTGTAGGGAGGTTGGGAGAGAGACACTTGAGGGCAGCGGGTGATGAGACAAGGCGGCTGGAGAGTGGCACTGGAAGATCACACTGTGTAGCCTAGGTGATAAGTCTGTGCTCACCCTGGGTGCTGACACACACACACACACACACACACACACACACACACACACGCACGCCCACAAAGAAGTGTCTTCTCTCAGACACATCACCTCTTGTCACACCACTCACCGCAGTTAGGTGGATTAAGCCT